GCCATTAGTTTACATGCCTTATTTTTATTTTTATGTATGTATTTATTTATTAATAGTGACGGGGCTTGCTCTGTTGCCCAGGCTAGTCAAATTCCTGGGCGCCATCACAGTTCACTGTAACCTTGACTTCCTGGGCTCAAGCCATCCTCCCACCTGAGCTTCCCAGGGTAAGTCATTGTGCCTGACCCACGTACCTTGTTTTACATGGTACGTTCCTCACCAGGAGCCTCTGGAGCTGGAGGGGCTCATAATTCTCATGTTTCACATGAAGAACAGAGAAAGGTAGTGGCTTGCCCAGGGTCACACAGCTACTGAAGTGGCTGAGCTGGGACCCCAGCTTGCATCTCTCTAACTGCAAGCCTGGCTCTTTCCCCTTCCCCGAGGGAAGAACTGTAGGAAGTTAGCAGGGAGTCAGGTGCTGACAAAGGGCTACCACCTGGATGTGGGGGAGCAACATTCTGTAGGTAACTCGGAGTTGTGTTTCTGCAGGCACCTCCTGAGTCACCCCAGCTCAGGTATGGGGCAGAAGAAGTTGAGAGTTAGCAAGTTAGGAAGAGGACGGGGCAATGCTTCAAGTCCAGGAGCGGGGCCGCCTGTCTTCCCTGGCTGTCCTCAGGTTGAGGCTGAGTGAGACAGGATGAAATCTGAGCAGAGTCCCAGGGCTGGGGGACTTGGCAAAGATCCAGTATGGTGGGTGGGAGGGAGGTTGTGCCGGGAGGGGGATTCCAGGGCTTCTGTTCCTGGCAGGGAAGAGCCCTGGGTCGTGGGTGGCCCAAGCCTGACTCTGATCACGGTCTCTCCCGAAAGCCACCTGGGCTCTGTGACCTGTTACAGAAAACAGCTGCTTCTGCCTGGTAATCCCAGCACTTTGGGAGGCCGAGGCGGGTGGATCACTTGAGGTCAGGAAGGAGTTCGAGACCAGCCTGACCAACATGGTAAAGCCCCTACTCTACTAAAAATACAAAAATATTAGCCAGGTGTGGTGGTGTGCGCCTGTAATCCCAGATACCTAGGAGGCTAAGGCAGGACAATTGGTTGAATCAGGAAGGCGGAGGCTGCAGTGAGCTGAGATAGGGCCACTGCCCTCCAGTCTGGGTGACAGAGCGAGATTTCGTCTCAAAAAAAAAAAGAAAAAAAAAACTGCTTCTGCATACACAGTGGAAAAAAATCCCCAGGGGTCATGCCAGGGTGAGGGGAAACAGGGTTTCCTATGCGAGTTACAAGGAATCTTGGAGCTGGCCCATGCAGGAGTGTGGGAGGTGACAGAGAGGTCCTTAAAACCAGGCAGGCCCCTCCCTGGCGTCTTCTGCGGGCCTGAGGACGGAGAAAAGGTCTCACTGGTGAGGAATCGCATCTTTGGGGCTGCTTCGCCTGAGGGAGGTGTGGGGAGCAGGGCCGAGGGAGGGGCTAGGAGAGGAGACACCTGGCCCCCTTGGTCAGGGGCGCAGGGCCAGGAGAGGGGGGACCTCCCGTCACCTCCCTCACAGACAGCAGGATGGCTGAGCGGCGCCTTCTGTGCAGTGGGGCTCGGCACTACCCTTTCCTTCCAGCCAGGAGGCATGAACTGGGAAGTCCTGGAGCTGCCGCATGTGGACTTGGGGGACCCGTCCTTCGGCGACCTGGCCACGTCCCGGCCTCCACATCTTCCTTTGGTCCTTCGTCTCCATTCTCTCCCTGTCATTACTGCAACCGCTGCCCTCCTCCGAAATTCTCTTGTGGCTATGTGCTTCCTCTCTGTGGTCGTTTGATCAAAATAGCTGAGCCCACATCCTCCTCCTGGGGCCCACTTTGGGCTCCACTGAGTGGCCGCTCTTCAGGGCAGCCCTCCATGCCTCTGCCATCTCCACCATGAAACTGCTTTCTTACTCTTTCCAGGGTGTTTTCAAATGCACCTGGGAGATTGGTTTTCTTCAGGTATAGGGAGGCCAACAGATCAGGAAATGATTGCCTTTTAAAAGATAGCTTGCTATTTACAGACCCCAGGAGAAGAGGGCGTACTTTCCCACCCAGGGCCACGCTGGAAGTGCCAGGTCATCAGGAGGGGCCACGGGAAGCATCGCCCAGGGCCTTTGCTGTGACCTCCGAGGTAAAGGGTGGCAGGGCAGGGGATACGATTTAGGACCAGCCAGTTTGAATCATGTCAGCGGGACTCCAGGCTTCCCTCGTTGTCCAGTGTCTGGGCCTGGGGTGGTGATTTGGGGCAGGAGAAGCCTTGGCTTGGAGGGTGAGAGTGAGGGAAAGGTGGGCGGGGTGTGCCGGGGGACTGGCAGTGTCAGCAGTAGGACTTATTCATACCGATCTGCAGCATCCTCAGTTCCTGCCTCCTCAAAAGAAAGAGTTCCACTGCGGGGCATACGGCAGAAGGAGAATGAGACTGAGGCAAGTTTCACAGCAGAAGTGAAAGCTTATTAAAAGCTTTAGAGCAGGAATGAAAGGAAAGTATACTTCGAAGAGGGCCGAGCAAGCAGGCGACTTGAGAGTCAGGCAGGCGACGTCGGAGTCAAGCAGGCGACTTGAGAGTCAGGTGTGCTGTTTGACCTTTGACTTGGGTTTTGTGTGTGTTTTTTTTTTTATTTGAGACGGAGTTTCGCTCTTGTTGCCCAGGCTGGAGTGCAATGTCGCAAACTTGGCTCACTGCAACCTCTGCCTCCCGGGTTCAAGCGATTCTCCTGCCTCAGCCTCCCAAGTAGCTGGGATTACAGGCACATGCCACCACGCCCGGCTAATTTTGTATTTTTAGTACAGCCTGGGTCTCTCCATGTTGGTCAGGCTGGTCTCTCACGGTCAGACTGGTCTCAAACTCCTGACCTCAGGTGATCCACCCGCCTCGGGCTCCTAAAGTGCTGGGATTACAGGCGTGAGCCACCATGCCCGGCCTGACTTGGGATTTTATATACTGGCATATTTCCAGGGTGTTGTGTTTCTTATCCCGATTCTTCCCTTGGGCGGGCGGTGCGCATGCACAGTGGCCTGCCGGCACTCAGGAGGGAGCATGCGCAGTGTGTTTACAGAGTTGGACGCATGCGTCCTTGAGGCGGTCTTCCCTTACCAGCCGAATGTCCCTGGCCGGTCACACACCAGTTAAACTCCGCCATTTTGCCTCTTCGTGCGCATGTGTGAGCCCCCTTGCCCAACTCCTGAGATCCTATCCGGAAGCTGCTCTTCACCAGCTTCAGGTGTTCCTGTTTATTGGAAGACTGCCTTTCCCTGGTGCTGGCTGCAACCAGTTATTTAGAGAGACAGTTACCAACTGCCTGCCCATCACCTGTTGGTCGCCTGCTCACTACTGTCACAGTTCGTCTGCATATGAAAGGCATGCTCACAGAGGAGCCATTTGAGGTCTCTAGGAATTAATCAGCCCTGGAAGGAGCAGGCTGTCTCTGGCCAACAAGGCCTCCAAGATGTCAAAGTGTCATAAACTATAGAAAATAAAAAGTATGTTTACTGCCCAGGGATGCTGAGAGGCAGTGGAGTAGAGTCAGTCAAGGAAATAGATTCACAGTCCTGGGCTAAACCCCTGGGCAACTCAGGGCACCTGCCTGAGCCACAGTTTCCTTATCTGTAAAATCAACAACTGTTAGTCATTCTTTCAACGAGTAACTGTTTAAAAGGACAGATGCTGGGCCTGCCAAGGTCATTGGTGGGTTTAGAGAGATAGTGGATAGTGCCTGGCGCACGAGAGGTGCCCAGTGAGTGGCAGTTGGTGTCCTTGGGCCACAGCTCCAGGGAGCAGCAGAGAAAGATTGGCGTGGAAGGGTGGGGTCCAGGGCCATTTCCTTGGCTGTTTGCAGCCCTCAGAGCAGAGGCTGTGGGTGAACAGAACCCTCAGGAATGTTCTTGGAACTTGGTGTTGCTGCTGGACAAGGGCTGGCATGGAAGCCAGCTCAGTAGCCGGGAGCCCCAAGGAGTCTGAGGTGTATTTGGAGGCCAGGCCTTGGGAGGTGCCAGGGTTTCCGGCAGAGCACTGGCACAAGTGACCATTCAACTCAGGGACTCGAGACAACAGGGCACTGAAGGGGAAAGCCTGGGCTTGTCCAGCTGTGGATAAACAAGGACTTTGAATCCTGGGAGGCAGGGAATCAAGCAGCTGCCGGCAAGGAACCGCTGAGAAGCCAAATTAGAATCAGGTGCTGGCCTGAGACACATGGAATTTCCTGGACTCTAGGCTACCAATGGCTGTTTTTACCAAAGACAGATTCTAAGGAGTGAAGCCAAGAGCTTCTGCCTGAGAGGTAGAGCATGAGAAGGAACAAACAAGCCCCCTCAAAGAATTCATGCTGGGAAGGGAGGCTGTGTGGTGCAGTGAGGGGCGCAGAAGGACAGAGCTTGAATCCGGCCTCCACCGGATTCTCAGTGGCTGTGTGACCTCTGGCAAGGCCCTGAGTTCTCTGAGCCCCACCTTTCCCAGTGGCAAAATGGGGACTGTGATACCTACCTTACCCTGCAGCACTCCCACGAGCCCCCAGGGTTAACTTATTCTTTAGGTAGACCAGAATCTGGGGCTCAGGAGAGTGTCTTAATTTTATAAATTCCTTTAAAATCAAGAGGAAAGAAAAGAATATATAATAATAAATCCAGCTTGGATTATATTTTTCTTTATGCCAACATAGTTGTCAAAAATAATCATGTGGATACAAATATAAATATAAATATATAGCAGAAAGATGCCTATAAAGGCAAAAGTGCTTGGCGCCCATAAGAGCCATGACCAGGCCCTGAAAGCCACTGGCACATTGTGGGTGCTCAGGGTTCACTGCTGAGCACCTACTCTGGGCCAAGCACTATTCTCAGTGTTAGAATAGAGGGGTGCATCGCCCAGTTTCTGCCTGCAAAGAACCATCAGGGTAGACATCCTTGCAAACAGGCAACTAGGGCACTGTGAGCTAAAGAGTATGAGACGTAGAACCGTTGGCTTTCCTCTGCCCTCCTGCTGTGGACACCAAGTGCTCTCTGTCCAGGAATTTTTTCTTCCTGAAAGCTTCTTACATCTTTTATCAAAGGCCATGTCTAGTTTACATCAAGTCCTGCTTCTCTACGTATGCCACCAAATCTCCATTCAAGAATCCTGGCCATTCTCTGGTTCCTTTTAGCCATTTTGCTGACAGGGTGAGTATGTCTGGGGGGGTTGTGGCTAAAAGCACACTGGTGGTCGGGACAGTCTCCCAGCAAATGCTTCCATTATTGCCCCTCTGCCTCCAGAGACCTCAGGGGACCTGTAGTTTTTTGCCTCATCTTTTCTGGCTAGACTCACCTTGTTTATTGCCCACCAGGACAGAGAGTGGAATAGGCGGGGCCTGGTGGGGAGCCAGGGTGGGAGCTGAATGGGCCGTGGGGGCATTGCCTGATAGACCTGTCGTGGGATGTATTTTCTCTTCCAGAACCCCAGAGATGAAGGGCCTCCTCCCACTGGCTTGGTTCCTGGCTTGTAGTAAGTGGTGGCCCCACGACCTCTGAATTAACTTCTACCCCATGAGAGTAGTAGGGTGGTGAAAAGGACACCTGCCGTTGAGGTGGTAGAGACTTGGGTTTGAATCTCGGCTCTGCACTGACTGCATAGACATCAGCAAGAGCCTTTATCCCTCCAAGCCTCTGCTTCCTCATCTGACATGGGCTAATGCAGTCCATGGGTGGGGCTGTGGCAGGGTCCTAGGAGATATCATACCTCAGCTGTGTAAAGGTGGTGGACACGGAGGTTACGTGGCTAGCAAATGTAGGAGGCAGATGTTTTTTTCTCCTATGCAAATAAAATAAGTTTAAAAAAAAATCCCCAAATCAATCTTCCAACCCACGATTCCTGGGTCATTCTCAGCTCTGGCTTGTCCAGCTGGGAGGTGACTGTACAGATGGCTTTAGTTCTACCCTGCAGTCCCATGACCGTGTATACAATCCCCTGACAGGCTGTCCTGCTCTTTAATGTCTTCCCAGGTGCCTGGAGACCCCAGGAGGAGCTGGGGCAAGGAGAGAGCAGGGGCCTTGGGCTCGCTGTGAAACCCTGGACAGGGCACCTTTTCCCTCCAAATCTCAGTTTCCCATTTGTAAGATGAGGGAAGTGCCTTCAGCAATTTCTAAGAGTCCCATCCTGCTTTTAGATTCTCTGCCTTATGTTCTAAAAAGTGTGAGGGGAGGGGAGTGGTGGGGAAGAGGAACGTATTGCCGAGAGAGACAGGAAGCTCCTGTCTGCCTGCTTCGTGAAAATACCTTATGAATTACAGCTTATATGTCACGGTCACTTACTATGTGCCTGTCGTCATGCTCAAAACTCACATACTTGATGTTATTTTAACCCTCATGACAACTCCAAGATGTAGCTGCTAATTTTGGGTCCCCATTTTCCGGATGATGAAACTGAGGCTCTGACTCCATTCAATACCATACTTTGAATTAGTGGCAGAGTCAGGATTTGAACCCAAGTCTGCTCATGTTTCAATTCCAAACTCCTAACCAATTCTCCATACTGCTTGCATGTCCCCTCCCACTGATTGAGAGAATTAAAAAGAGACATGCAGTTTCCTCCAAGCCCCAGGTGGGAGAAAGGGTAGGAGGTGCTGGGCAGTGGGCCTAATGCAGGGCTGGGCTGCCTGGGTGTCACCTGGGAACATGGGCTGTCTTCCAGGTGTGCCTGCTGTGCAAGGGGGCTTGCTGGACCTAAAATCCATGATCGAAAAGGTGACAGGGAAGGACGCCCTGAAGAACTATGGCTTCTACGGCTGTTACTGTGGCTGGGGCGGCCAAGGGAGCCCCAAGGATGGCACCGATTGGTGAGCTGATTGCTATAACTGCCCTTGGGCTCCAGGGTCTGCACCCACGTTTTCTTATTCAATTTCATATCAGTTCTGGAAGATGAGTATGAAAGTACCATTTTATAAATAAGAAAACTAAGTCTCAAAGAATTTAGCTGGCAATCACAGTGGTCTAAGGTGTCAGTTGGTCTACTGTGGCATAACAAGTGGTCCTAAATGTAGTGGCTTAAACAGCACTGATCATTTACTTTGCCTGTGAATCCTCCATTTGGGTAGGGTGTGTGGGAGTGGCGTGTCTCAACTTCAGCTTGGACAACTGGGGCTGGACAATCCACCTTCCAGATGACCCACGCCTATGGCTGGCAAGTTGTCAGCATCTCCTGGCCTAGGAGTGGGCCAGAGGCCACAATTCCTGTCACTTAAGCCTCTCCCAGGATGTTTGGGATTCCTCCCACCATGGTGCTCTTGGGTTGCAACAGTGAGTATCCCGAAACTGCAAGACTAAAGGGTATGGTGTTTTATGGTCAGCCTCAGAAATTCCACTGTGTCACCCTGTACTCTTGGTCAAGACAGTGTGAAAGCCTTTAAGAGGGAGGGGACCTAGATTCCACCTCTTGACCGGGAAGTGCTAAAGTTCGAGAAGAATGTGTGAAATGGGAGATTCTGTTCCTTGGAAAATATACCCAACTGGATTAACAATTCTGATACTGCTAGACATATAGAAAGGAAAGGACAGATGGTTGGGGCCAAGTTTCTCACTGTTGGAGTGGGATAAGCCAGGGCAGGAAGCCAGAATGATCCATGTGCAACAGCACTAGAGTTAGAGACCTCAACACGGACTCCAGTTTAGCTTATTATAGAGGCGGATGTTTACGTGTAGAAGTATGCACAGATACCAGGATGCATAGATATAAGTATCATACTAATATAAGATGTGAGTAATAGGAGAAAATAGGTGTTTCCTCTGTAAGGTCTTCTCCGTTTTTCTGTAAACCAACAATACTTTTTATGTGCACTCTGCTACACCTAACATACAGTCATCCCCTGGACTGGTTCCAGGACCCCTGTGAATACCAAAATCTGCAGATGTTCTAGTCCCGGATATAAAATGGTATAGTATTTGCATATAGCCTGTGTGATCATATACTTTTTTTTATTCACATGGGAAAAAGAAATGTTCTTTTGCTGTCAGTGGAGAAGACTTAAAAGAAATGACACCACAGTAGCAACAAGCACACTTAATGCCTAGATCTGGTTTCCAATGTTATTCTTCAATAAAAGAACCCTTCCAAGACACACACACACACACACACACACACACACACACACACGTATAAAACCAGGGTTCCTTGAAGAAATGGCCAATTCTAGGACCAAGGCAGGAAATATGCAAGATGAGCCTGGAACTTCTTTTAGTGACAAAAAGTAAGGAAGTGCTCAAACAAAAACAAAACCAAAGCCCGCATTGATGGCCATGTGACAAGAGGTACATGTGCTGACTGAAAGAGCCTCCAGTAGCCAAGACTGGAACAATTCAGCAAAAAAATAACCCCAAACTCCAGTCTCATGATGAGAAAAAAGAAAATCAGACAAATCCCAAGAGTGGGGCATTTTATAAACTATCTACTAGTATGCCTCAAAACGGTCAAGAACAAGGAAAGTGTGAGGAACTGCCACAGACAAGAGGAGTCCAAAGAGACAAGACAATGGGCCAGGCGCAGTGGCTCAAGCCTGTAATCCCAGCACTTTGGGAGGCGGAGATGGGCTGATCATCTGAGGTTGGGAGTTCAAGACCAGCCTGACCAACATGGAGAAACCCCATCTCTACTAAAAATACAAAATTAGCCAGGCGTGGTGGCGCATGCCTGTAATTCCAGCTACTAAGAAGGCTGAGGCAGGAGACTCACTTGAACTCGGCAGGTGGAGGTTGCGGTGAGCCGAGATCGCTCCATTGCACTCCAGCCTGGGCAACAAGAGCAAAACTCCATCTCAAAAAAAAAAAGAAAAAAAAAGAGAGACAAGACAATGAAATGTAACATGGGATCCTGGGACAGAAAAAGGACATTGGTAAAAATGAGGGAACGCTGAATCAATTATGAATTTTTTACAATCAATGAGATAGTAACAATGTATTATTATTTAGTGAATAATTATTGTTAATAATATATCAATATTGGTTCATTAATTCCAACAAGGGTATCATACTAATGTAAGATGTTAGTCATAGGAGAAATGAGGTGTTTCCTCTGTAAGATCTCAGTTTTTCTGTAAACCAAGGAAACCTTTAGTATGCCATCGCTACACCTAACATACAGTGATCCCCTGGACTGGTTCCAGGACCCCTGTGGATACCAAAATCTGCAGATGCTCTAGTCCCTAATATAAAATGACGTAGTATTTGCATATAACCTATGTGATTGTATCCTCCCCCCGACCTTTTTTTTTTTCTTTGAGACAGGGTCTCACTCTGGTTGCCCAGGCTGGAGTGCAATGGTGTGATCTCAGTTCACTGCATCCTCGACCTCCTGGGCTTAGGTGATTCTCCCACCTCAGCCTCCTGAGTAGCTGGGACTACAGGCATGTGCCACCATGCCTGGCTAATTTATTTTTATGTATTTATTTTTAGTAGAGACAGGATTTTGCCATGTTGCCCAGGCTGGTCTCAAACTCCTGAACTTTAGCAATCTGCCTGCCTTGGCCTCCCAAAATGCTGAGATTATAGGCATGAGCCGCTGTGCCGGCTGTGATGGTATACTTTAAATCATTTCTAGATTACTTATCATAGCTGATACAATGTAAATGCTATGGAAGTAGCTGTTGTAGTGTTTGGGAATTAATGACAAGAAAAAAGTCTGTACATGTTTAGTACAGACACAAGTAAATAGGCCTGCGTACATTTTCCATCCATATTGGTTGATCTACAGGTGTGGGACCTATGATATGAGAAGTTTATTTTTGGTTCACATAATAGTTCAGTATGAATCACACGTTGGCTCCTCCCATCTTGTGGTTCTGCCATCCCCTGTGGCCTCAGAATCCTTTGCTGGGTCTTCTCCATCCAGCTGAAGGATGGAGGCAGAGGGACAGCAGAGGAAAGTGTGGGAGGTTTGTCTGGGCAGGTCTGGAAGTGGAGTACATCAATTCCATCCACCTCCCCTGGCAGGGATCGAGTCATGTGGCCATACCTACCTGCAAGGGAGACTGGGAAATGTAGTCTAATCATGAGACCAGGAGGAAAACAAGGGTCCATGACCTGCTGGCTGGAAATGAGGAGCAGGAAATTACTCAGTTATGCTACCAGATCTTCTCTGCCACATTGCTTCCACCAAAGTGGCCTCTGCTAAAGTGACATGGTTGAATTTTTGCTCCTATTAGGGACGGGGTCAGGAGGGCACACCTCCCGCTCAGGATCTAAGTCTCTTGCATGGACAGGTGCTGTTGGGTGCATGACCACTGCTATGGGCGGCTGGAGGAGAAGGGCTGCAACATTTGGACACAGTCCTACAAATACAGATTCGCATGGGGCCTGGTCACCTGCGGTAAGGCTGGGGCTTCCCGTTTGGGCCATTGGAAGAACACCTGACTTTAAGTTCAGTTGCCCTAGAGGACAGTCAGCCTGTATCTTGTTGGGGAAAGTGGGGTTGGGTGCAGAACTGGAACGAGAGGGGCAGGATTATTGCAGCTGTATCAGACCCCCGGTGTAGGGCTGAAACATCTTAGCATCCACCCTGTGCAAGGGCTTGACATGCTTCCTTTTTCTGGATTCTTGATCCCCAAATACCTGTGGAGTAGGTTAGTCTCCTCCATTTTAGACATCAGGAAATGGAAGCTTGAAGGCCTGCCAGTGCACATAGCAGGATTCAAGCTCAGGGCCCAGGGGTGGTTTCTGCTCTGTGAGAATGAGAGTTCCTCCAGAGCAGTGGCTGCCTCCACCATCAGTCTGGGAGTCCCCCAGAGGAAGGAATGTGCTTTCTCTATCCGACTGGAAACTCCCTGAGGGCAGGAGCTGTCTCCTGGACTGAAACATCACCTTGAGCAGCAGCTGTGCCCCTTCCATCAGATTATTCATTCCCCCTGTTTAGGAGCCGTGCCTCCTTCATCAGGCTGAGAGCTCCTCGGAGCAGGAGGTCCATGGGGTCTCTGCTGAGATGGGAGTGATCAGTCAGTCAAGCACACTCTTCCCACTGTCATTCTGCTCCTTGTGTTCTGTTGCAGAGCCAGGGCCCTTCTGTCGTGTGCAGCTCTGTGCCTGTGACCGGAAGCTCGTCTACTGCCTCAGGAGAAACCTACGGAGCTACAACCCGCGGTACCAATACTTTCCCAACATCCTCTGCTTCTAGGCATCCCCAGCGAGCTCCTTCCAGACCAAGCATTTGCTCTGTTCTTCTGCAACGCAGAGTTCCTACTCTGCTGGGTTCCTGAGAGAGGCTCCTACATTGCAGACCTCAATCCTTCCTGAAGCTTCGAGGATCCCCAGGGCCACGCCCTCCAGCGAGTCCCAGGAGAGTGACTCTAGTTGTAGGACTTGATAGGGCCCCAGGGCCTCCACTTCTGAGGGCACCCCCTCTGGTGCCAAGAGCTCTCCCCCAACTCAGGGTTGGCTGTGTCTCTCTTCTCTGAAGACAGCATCCTGGCTCCAGCTGGAGCACTTTCCTGAGATGCACTTACTTCTCAGCTTCTGTGAGCAGATTCTCACCACCACCCTCCAGAGAATTTCTACACAAGAAGAGCCAAATTGAATCTCTAAATCTGGTGCATGGATATTAAATAAAATTCCTTCTCATGGCTAATAAAAACGGCATTGGCATTTTCCTCTGCTGTGGGGGATCGCTGGTGCCTCTTTCTCTGCCACTAGGGCTATAAACCAGAAGTTATCCACCTTGTCTCAGAGACAGAAGGGAAGATTAGTAAATGCAGGGTTTTCTGGGTTGTTTCAGGCTTTCTTTTGGGCTCATTTCCTTAAACCTTGGGGTCCTCTCCAGCCCAGTGTTGGGTCTCATTCTTCCTTGATGGGGTGGAGGAAAGATAACTGGTAAGTATGACAGCTTCAGCTTTCAGGTCAGAGAGGGTGGCATTCAAGTCCCAGTGCTGGCTCCTCCAGCTGTGTGGTCTTGGGCTCATTACTGAACCTCTCTGACGTTCAGTCTCTTTGAGAAAGAAACTGTCTTGTTCCTTGCAATGTAAAAGGAGGCTTCTAAAGCTCACCTTGATGCTGATATGGGGGATGCTGATGTTCTGGCATTTCACACAGCAGGAATTTTTTAAAAATAGCTATCAGTTATGGGTTTATTTCCTTTTTTTTTTGCAAAGTAAGGACATTAAAAAAAAAAACTCATCTATCAATTCATAAAAAAAAGGGTGTTTTGCTACCAAGCCTGCAGGAAGAAAGGATGTATCCAAAACAAAGGAGCATCCTTCCAAGAAAGGACCTATGACTTCTTTATTCTGACATACCCCAAAATAACCACATGATAAACAGGATCTATGTTTAAAAAGCTCTAGTGTTGAATGTTTTCAAAATAAAATTTGATTTTATGAGATTACCCTGAATGCACCAGTGTTTTCAAAAAGTTTGATTTAGACTCCGTGTCTATATTTGATAATGCCACACAGGGAGGGGCTTCAATGCCGAATTTGCTCATGAAATATTTAAAATCAAAGCCATTTCCCTGATCCAATTTTGAATGAGTATGTGGGGGAAACTGAAGGCTTCACTCTAATGCCGTTTTCCTTCAATCGTGATATTGTGGTGATAGAATAGAGAACCCAGTCCACACTTCTCCCTTTGCCCATGAGGGTCAGGTGGCAGGCGGGGCAGTGCTTTGCTGGTAAGTTCTGCAGGAGGGGGCTGTGGGCAGGCCCTTCTCATTGGCACATTCCAGCTCAGAGTCCCAGCATCCACCCAGGAGAGGGATGCTATGAGGTTATGAAGGCAACACTACCGGCTGGCGTGTGTTTGAGCTGTAAGGAACCATGGAGAACCTTCATTTTTCTACCAGGAAATTGAGGCCCAGAAAGGTTAGGAGACTGTCCCAAAGTCACACAACACATCAGAAGCAGAAGAAGGATTTGACCTCAGATCCCAGCTTTAAACCCTGGGCTCTGGCCACTATTCTACATTCCCTTCAATCCCAGTCCACAAAAAGAGCAGTTTGGGGACTCACCCATATTTGGGATTTGTTGGGGGAGCCCCTGGATTCCAGCTGAGGGCCAGCTTCATGTCTTCTCTGCTCTACTGCATCTTTGGATTCTGGAGGCTGTCCCTGGGGTGTCAGTCTGTCTGGGGCTCTGGGCTTCATCCTCAGTGGAGGAGATCCCATTGCTGTCTTCCACCTTGGTGGCTGTGAACAGCTCTGGGGGAATGAGGAGAGCTAAGGGAGCCCCAAAACTTGTGGAGAGGTTTCTCCTCGACTGTTGCATTTCCAGATCCCTTGGTTGGCAGGAGAACCATCAGGGAGGTCATCCTATTTTAAGAGAGCTAGTGAAACATACAGACCAGATTGCAAATGCCTCTGTAGCTAGATCTTCATACATACTTAATGGATAGATTGCCCTACACATACAGAGCCTTTCCTGTCACCTGAATTGGGTTTCAGGTACAAATGCAAGCCTCCAAGTGTAGGTAAAATGGCCTCTATAAGCGTATGCACGGAGGGGCTGGACAGTGGGGAGATCCCTTGTAGTTGTTACCAAACTGAAAAGCCTGCTGGCCAGGGTGGAGGGGCGGAGGACAGGGCTAAGGTGGGCTGATGAAGCAGGAGGTATGTGGAGTTGTTCTTTCTTTTCTTTCTTTCTCTTTCTTTCTTTCCTTCCTTTCCTTTCATTTCCTTTCCTTTCCACTCCCTTCCTTCCTTCCTTCCTTCCTCCCTCTCCTCCCCTCCCCTCCCCTCCCCTCCCCTCCCCTCCCTTCCCTTCCCTTCCCTTCCCTTCCCCTTCCTTCCTTCCTTCCTTCCTTCCTTCCTTCCTTCCTTCCTTCCTTCCTTCCTTCCTCCCTCCCTCCCCTCCCCTCCCCTCCCTTCCCCTTCCTTCCTTCCTTCCTTCCTTCCTTCCTTCCTTCCTTCCTTCCTTCCTTCCTTCCTTCCTTCCTTTTCCTTCCTTCCTTCCCTCCTTCTTTCTTTCCCTTTCCCTTTCCCTTTCTCTTTCCCTTTCCCTTTCCCTTTCCTTTCTTTTTTCTGATATGGAATTTTGCTCTTGCCACCCAGGCAGGCTGAGTGCAATGGCGCAGTCTCGGCTTACTGCAACCTCTGCCTCTCGGGTTCAAGTGATTCTTCTGCCTCAGCCTCCTGAGTAGCTGGGATTACAGGCGTGTGCCACCACACTTGGCTAATTTTGTATTTTTTTAGTAGAGATGGGGTTTCTCCATGTTGGTCAGGCTGGTCTCGAACTCCCAACCTCAGTTGATCCACCCGCCTTGGCTTCCCAAAGTGCTGGGATTACAGGCGTGAGTCACGTGCCTGGTCTCCATATGGACATTATTAACTGCCCAGGGAGGCTGCTGTTTTCATCCCTATGTGAGGGGTGGGACCTGAAGCCCTGGGAAGTAAAGTGTTTTGCTTGAGGCCACACAAGTAATAAGGAAGAGAGGTGGGAAGGAAGCAGGCTGTCTGATCCCAAAGCCATGTTCTGTGGTCTCTTGTTTTCAGAGACAGAGTCTCAGTCACTTAAGCTGGAGTGCAGTGACATGATCATAACTCACTATAGCCTCAGACCCCTGGGCTGAAGGGATCCTCCCACCTCAGCCTCCAGAGCTGCTAAGACGGCAGGCGTGCACCACCACACCTTGCTAATTTAATTTTTTTATCGAGTTGATGCTCTTGCTATGTTGCCTGGGCTGGTCTTGAACTCCTGGTCTCAAGTGATCCTCCCACCTCTGCCCAAAACTGTGTTCTTAGTAGAACCGATGGCATCACACAGGGGAAGCTTGGCGCTGGGGCCAGGTCTTGCAACATGCACCGTGGAAAACATTTTGTTTTGTTCAGGGTGGATGTGGCAAGTTTGGGTTGTGTGACTTTAGCTAAGCTATGTTTCCCAGAATTCCTTTCCCTGTAGAGCTCTGTGTTAGGTTCTGGTTAGCTGCTGTAGTTTAGAGCCCAAAGAGATGTTTTGTTGAGATTTGAAAGGCAGATGGGAAGTGCAGTCATATTCCCTTTACACTTGGGAGCAGGACATGGCGTGTATGTGGCTCAGGCTGGGGATCATGGACCTGCTGGCTTGCCTTGCTGAGTCAAGCCTGCTGGATTTCCTTGTTCAACTTCTCTGACTCTTGGGCCAGATGTGTGTTTAGCTCTGTAAGTAAGGGAGCCAGCTTCCCCAGCAGGATGCACAGGCAGTGAAGCTAGGGTGCAAGGTATTGAGACCCACCTGGTTCTTGTTCGTTCTTTTGGGTTCCATGCATCCTCCCAGGTTCCAATTTGTCATTGCTCTCCCCCGCCCCTTCACAGTCATCTTCTGTTTCAGACTGTCTGCCCTGCTAACTTCAGGCTATAGCATCAGACACAGGAAAAGCAGCCTCCTATGAAGGACTAAGCCAGCAATCCCATCTGTACCACGTCAAATTTCTACCAAAAAAGTATTGTTAGGCCGGACGCAGTGGCTCATGCCTGTAATCTCAGCACTTAGGGAGGCTGAGGCAGGCTGTTGGATCACAAGTTCAGGAGTTCAAGACCAGCCTGGCCAATATGGTGAAACCCCGTCTCTACTAAAAATACAAAAAAATAGTCAGTTGTGGTGGCATGTGCCTGTAGATCCAGCTACTCGGGAGGCTGAGGCAGAAGAATTGTTTCAACCTGGGAAGTGGAAGTTGCAGTGAACTGAGATCACGCCACTGCACTCTAGCCTGGGCAACAGAGCGACACTCATCTCAAAAAAAAAACAAACAAAAAAAAAACGATTGTTATATAAGAGTACTGCTGCCTTTCTGCCTGAACTCCCTGACCTCTATAGAGTTTGGTACTAGACACAGTTTCTGAGGAACAGACCCTGAAGGATGGGCTGTTTGAATTGCCTCTGGCTCATCTGGAATTGGTTTTCTTATTTGACTAGATTTAAGGGCACACATGGCTGGTTTTTATTGGCAAGGGGGACATTGATTGACCACAGCCTGAAGAGATAAAACAGCTACTTAAATGATCACCTGTGTACACATCTGTTCAAGAGTGACCAGTAGTTGATGGCAAAGAGCATTTTAATGGAAACAAAATTATTATGGGTTGGAGAACTTGGAAAGAGACAGTGATGGGCTCAGGGCTTTAAAATCTCACTCAAGGTTCACAGACAGGGCCAAGCAGGATGGATCACATTTATAATCCAGGTGTTTTGGGAGGCCGTGGTGGGAGAATTGATTGAGCCCAGGAGTTTGAGACTAGCCTGGGCAACATAGTGAGACCCTGCCTCTACGAAATAAAAATTTAGAAAGATCATGGGCCGGGCACGGTGGCTCAAGCCTGTAATCCCAGCACTTTGGGAGGCTGAGGCGGGTGGATCACGAGGTCAAGAGATCGAGACCATCCTGGTCAACATGGTGAAACCCCGTCTCTACTAAAAATACAAAAAATTAGCTGGGCATGGTGGCGTGTGCCTGTAATCCCAGCTACTCAGGAGGCTGAGGCAGGAGAATTGCCTGACCCCAGGAGGCGGAGGTTGCGGGGAGCAGAGGCCGCCCTGTTGCCCCCAACCTGGGAAAAAAAGCCAAAACCCCCTTCCCAAAAAAAAAAAAAAAAAAAAGAAAGATCTGCATACAGGACATGAATGCTTCTTTGACTGCCTGTATGGAACACACATGCCTGTTAGAGAAAGACAGTAGAGTGATGCAAACTGAATCAAGCCACACCTCCAATCGCAGCTGCTGTGGATATTGTTGCTAGAGCAAATCAGCACATCCCTGGCACCTGTTTTATAATTATTCCACTGCAGAATGACTTTTTCCTCATACCTATTAGTAAAACTGTGAGAAGCATTTGCTCTCAGCTTGCAGGGACAGCAATACACTTACAGTTTCCAACTGCAGGGCTCCATCAACTCTCCAGCTCTATGCCGTAATCTAGTCCAGAGGGACCTGGATTATCTTTGTACCCCACAGGACATCAGCACGGGTGATGACATGGAAGACATGTACACACCTTAGGGGCCTGCCACTCCAGAGGCATTTTTCAGGGGTCCTTTAGTCTGGGGCATGTTGAGATATCCCTTACAGAAGGTACGACAAGTAACAGCATCTGGCCCTCCTGTCTATTGAGAAGGAAGCACAGTGCCTCGTGGGCACTTGAGATTTTAGCGATGTAGCTCACGTTTCAGGTCAAGGTACCACGGAAGTACCGTTTACCAATGGTATCAATGAAGTACTGCTTAAACCCACTTAGCAATCGACCTGAACAGCTGCCTGTTTTGAGTGGGGTCCAGAACAAAAGGTTATGCAACCGGCCCAGGTTGCCACGCCAGTGGCTCTGCCACTTGGGTGGTATGACCCAGCAGACCCAATGGTGCTTGACGTGTATATGCACACAGAGACGCTTCATGGAAGCTCAGAGGGGCCTCTGTGGGTAAA